TGGTTCAGATGAGTTACTCTGAACATGAACTCAGTGACTTCTTAAAAATATATCTCAAGTGACAGGTGAGTATTTCACACCCTTTGCTTTAACAGAGCCTTGTACAATCTGTCACAACAATGCCTTAATAAATGTTGAATTGGTGACAGACATGTAGAAGCCAACTCATGTTAAGCACACTTCTCAAACAGAACTGGTCAAAGCCTGTTGGAGCAATAACCTTTTGAAAACATTGCACTTAACATTTCATCATTCAGCAAGTCATCACTAGGGCAGAGCCATCAGCCACTCTGCAATGGGAACTACAGGAAATCACTACAGAATGACATCATTCCACAGGGGGAGAAACAATTCATGAATTGACCATGGCCTCCTAAACAGTTTCTGACACTGAAAAAGGGGCAGCCTACTCTGTGAACATCCATGGCAAGGACTTGTGTGTCCTCCTTTGATACACAGGATGTAGCACAGAGTAAGTACAAGGCACTGGTTTAGAGGAGTAATTGTGCAGTGCTTTCCCACTATGATGGAATTAAAATAATTGGCATGTTTTAAGTGTTACAGCTTGGCCTCATTGTTAGTGTTTTGCTGCTGTGATCTGTTCATTTATGTTTTCACTCCTCATTTTATATACTTAAGTAGCTCAGGGAAGAGTGACCCTCAAGGAAAACACTCTGTACAAGTCAGCATAGAAACCAAACCCATGAACATCATAGAAAAAATTCTGAATGCTTTGGCCCCATCTCTAAAACAAAGTTCAATTTTCAGATCTCTGATAGATATTATTATTCAATTCACATTTCATATTCAAACCTGCACTTTGAGAACTTGTTTCAGCTTTGCCACAGTTTTCAGTAGCCAGATCTGGGCACTGTTGACCACACATAGTACACTCGAACATGACATCATGCCTGGGTTACAGAATAGTCTGCCCCCTGTGCCACACACTGATGAAGTATAACATATCCACTCCATGCTTAAGTGATTCTTTTCCCATGAAGTCTATTCTTGTGGTTGCAATTAATACTGAGAAGGAGCAGGAAACTCTGTGCATCCAGGCATCATTTTTCCAACTTGCCTTCCTAAGTAAATGAAGCTGATGTGCTAACTCTGCTTGTTTCTGTACATCCCACCACAACTTCCAAGCCCTCAGTCAATTCTGAACAAAAGAATATACCAAAAGAAATTTCCAGTAAGATGCATGTCTCCATCTTCCTTTCTCTAGGAAAGGATTGTAGCCTGAACTCAAATTTTATTAGACATTATGAAAGCTTCATACAGAGCAAGTATGAAGGTCCCAAACATGAGAAATGCTTCATGCAGAGCACACACCTACAGGTCATTTAATAGCAACATGAGACAGAAACCACCATCAATTAGTAATGCTGCTCCCTGAATTACAGATGCCTACCTGTCAGCGAAAATCTTCTCACAAAGTCCACAGCATCATTTGTGGTACTAGAATTTATGTGCAGAACTGACTGCTTTAAAATGCTTATTGTAAATATTTCATATTGCTCTCAACCTGATAGCACAGTGACAGGGAATGTTAGGCATTTGGGATGCCCTAGAGGGGTGAAAATAAATGATAGCTCTCACCCCAGTGCTGCCCTTTGAAGGGACCCTAGTTAGCCAGATAATGCTGTGGGACAATTGTGGTTAAATCCCAAGAGAGCTCTTGGAGTGTCATCCCCAGGAGCCCTGATGAGTGCACAGTAATTAGTTGCAGATGAGCACACAGGCACATAACTTTATCAGGGTCTGTCTGCTCCCCTGCTGGGAGAGAAAAGGCATTTTTGCCCAGCAGCCAGGTCAGCTGCTCTGCAAACAGGAGAGGGATTGATCCCTTCCTCCTTGATCCAGGGTCCAGCAAGGTGTGTGTTTTGCAGCTGAAGGATGGAATTGCATTCACTTCCAGTGAAAGTTACAGGATCGTGTTTGCTGGGTAGCTGACAAATTCCCATAAAATACTATGCTGAAGTTTCTCTGTTTCACAGGGTAGTCCTCTGAGGTCACTGCTCAGCAGCTCAGGACTTGGCTTTCCTACAGGTGCTCACAGTGTGCCAGAGAGTTCCCAAGAATATACATAAAGATCTCTTTCCTAAAACATTTAATCTAAACACCAGTACTGCTGCACTTTTATGTATATCTTTGTGTGTTCTGGCACCTGATAAAAGCTCCATTACTTTCAATGAGTGAGTGTCACCTGGTGATACCACGGCTTCCTCTGAAGAGGTGCTTTTGCAGAGTTCATCCTGAGGTTATACATGGATTTTTTTTTCCCAGAAAACTCCAGGAAAGACATCTGAAAAACACTCTTGAGCATCTTGTTTGGATTTGTTCCTACCAGAGAAGGTAGGGGCTAAAGCCCAGCTGCTCTCAGAGAAGCGAAGGCTCAGCAGCTGAACTTCTGTTGTACATAACAGTAAAAGCACCAAAAAAATGCCAAGTATTGATGGAGCAGCTACAGGTCCGTTGTTAGAAGGACCACTGGTGCTACTAAATGCCATCAGATGGTTAAGCACAGCCTTTTATGGTTTAATGGCTCCTCTCAGGATCCTGGGAAACTAGCTTGTAAAAAGCATCAGAGGCCCGCTTTGTTTTTAACTAGCCACAAAGGCATTTAACTGAGCCAGCCAGAGTGGGCTCTCTGATACAAATGGTTCTGGCTGAGCAAGACACACTTGCTGCAGTCCCTCTAAGGGAGAAAATAATTGAATATTCCTGGCTGCTGGGCGCTTGGTGTAGGTTAGACAGGTAGTTTTTCTGCAGTCACAGTGGGGTCCTGCAATTTAGTACAAGCTTCTAAAAATTTCACATATCCCTAGTCACTGCACACAGGCTACCCAATGATAATCACCTTACTGCTGAGCTGAGATTCAAATATGAAATGGCAGTGCTTTCTGGACCAGCATGACCCTTAGTGGAAGGATACTACTTTTCCTATATTTAAATTTAGTGTCTGATTCTAAGAGATTTACTAAGCACTATGATGATTCTGTAATATAGAGTCAACCAAGACTATTATTTTGCATACCTTAAAACCCATATTTAACTTCAAGTAAGTTGCAAAGATGCCATTGTGCATAGTGTGCTAGGGAAAAAGTTTTTGGAGAAACCTTTTGGCTCCTACTTAAGCCTACTCTGCTTGGGACAATGATGGAAGAAATACTATTCTGTGCTCACAAATCCATTCATATAAGCATACCACAGAAGACAGGAGCAGTACTTCTTTGACTTCTATGTCTTGGGCCACTGAAGACAGAGAGTCAAATTTTGTTCTCAGTTAAGGACACATATAATGGGTTTTGCAATCCACTGCACCAGAGCTAACATTTGGCTTCCTGAAGAAATTTTATTCTATTACCCATAAGAGGACAGAAGACAGAAGCAGTACTTCATTCTAGTGTTAATGGAACAGTCCATCAAGCATTGCTTTGCAGCTGGCTCTGGCAGAGTATGAAAAAGGATGCTCCTGCCTGCATATCTGATAACGCTGAGATGCTGCCCTTCCACAAACATTCCTACTATGTTGAACAGTTTGAATTAAACCTTCATCCATGGCTTCCCAAGTGCAAGGGAAGCCATCAGAGTAGTCCCTGAATGGGCTGTCATGTGTCAGTGACAGGAACCAAGCACTGGTGTGTGCAGCACAGACCAGGTGTGTTCAGTGGGCTGGTCTCTGCTGGCCCTAGCGCTGCTCTGACCTGCCCATTCCGGGTGAGCCAGCGTCCATCTGCCCTGGGCTTGCAGGGCTGCTAAAAGAGCACAAATCACTCCCTGTCTGCAGCTACACCTCTGTCAAAGGTGAATAATTCACTGACTATTGAAAGGCAACCACTGTCTTTTCCCCCTTCCTTTCTTCCTTTTTCTCAGAGTGTCTTTTTCTCAGGTCTGACTAGAAAAAGACTGTATCATCCTGGTCACACACTGTTGGTTTTTTTGGGTAAAGCACAAAACCACGTCCTTGCAGACACTGCTCATTAGAAAGCACAGCCCGAACGCAGGTCCTTTCTAACCTAGGAATTCTGGGAAACAGTGCTGGGGGAAGAGGTGCTAGCTGCTGACAACCTTGCGATAAGGAGAGGCGTTGTGAGAGCACACATCAGTGCAAAATGCTCAAATGGCTGACATGGGGGAAGCACCTATAACCAAGTCCTCCATTTGGCCCCAGGGCAGAAGATGTTTCTGGGGATGCAAGCCTAGAGTGTTTGTGTCAAACAGTATTGTGGTGCCCTCTTCTCACCACTTGTATGCTCATATAAAAGTCTCCAAAATGCATATGCTAATTTCTTCACCTTCCAAGCAACACATCAAAGACATTTTGCACACACAGAGTTTCAGCGAAGACTTCTATATTTCCAACTCATTAAAATGTAACTGCTCTTGTTCTCAGTCTTGATATAGCAGTCAAAAAACATTCAATGCTCATTTCAAACTAAACTGACAGTATCAAATAACAACCAAATAGGCTATTGCTGTGTATGGAAAATAAATCTCTTCTGTTTTGCAAAAGATTTCTAAAGAAGACCTTAGAAACCACCTGGCTCTTATTCATATTTACAGTTGTGCATCTAAGGTTATTTAAATAATGTCTTCATTCCCCCTGCACATAATGTTTTGGAACATAATGTGCTCCAGGCCAAAACACAGAATATCCATAAATGTAAGTGACATTTTATCTGAGTGATATGAGGAGTTCCTGAGACTTTGGGAGCCCAGCAAGCCAGCACACTGCACTGAACTGCACATGCAGATAAGGAGTATTTTCTATATTATTTGTGTGCGGTATACACTAATTCAGCAAGGAACAAATTTTCCAAAATTATCTACTTTTTTAAAGTTTTCCAGTATTAACCCTTTTAATTATCTCTATTCATGTATTTTTGGACTAGCCAACACGTACAAAAGTAAAACCAAAAAAAAGGAGGGAAGTATAAAAAATATCAAATCCAAATTATTAAAAAGTAGCACACTTTTGTATAGATCTGGACACTTACCGATAAGCAGGATAACTAATACATCTGTAATATAATAACCAAACAGCAAAGGCTTCTGCCAGACCTCCACACCAACAGTACCAGTGAGCAGATATGCTGCTATTAACACCTACAGAAAAAAAAGACAACTGATTTTCAATCCTTTACATCTAAAGGCAGAGAATTTCACTTATCATCTTAGTACAAATGCAAAAGTTAAAAAAAAATCTGTTTAGTTACCACCTGTCCCTACTTTACCTTCTGCTGCCATGACAAAACAATTACTTCTAAGCAGTGAAGCCACTTGCAGGGTTACCAAGAGAATTATTTAAAATGTATGAAATATGGTAAGCAAGCAACTTCCCCGTGTTTGTATCTGTTTGTATGTGGTATTACTGAGTTACCTTTTCAAAATACCTAAATCCACTTTTATTGCCAGGTCTCCCCACTACACATGCACTTTCCTGTTTTTGGGTACAGACTTCAGAATTAGTGGTTATTTTTGCAGCTCTGCCCTTAACTGATCATATCTGAGTGGCAATGACCATATCTGATCATATCTGAATAACTGAGAAAGGGGCAGAAAAACCCTAAGCCCATCTGAAACAATAATGAAAAATAATAAAAGCATTCAATTGAATGTGAAGAAATAAAAAGAATGAGAAGGAGATGAAGTCTTCCCTGATTTTGAATTTGTTTGACAGATAACTTCATTAAAGGACACAAAAAGAATCACATAGATGTCACTAGGAGTGAAAGGACATATCCACAAGACTCAGGAGCACCCAGCTAGAGGGACTGCTGCCCTTCTCTTTCTCTAGCCTGCTCTGTTCTCAGCTGTTTGGTTTTGCCACAGGACCCATAAGAGGCTATATGTTTCATGCTAAGCTAGCTATAAATGAAAATAACAATGTTAATTACAATGCCATTTAGAAAACTACATATTCATCTATTAATTCCCAGGTAACATTCAGTAACCTTTATATTTTCCACTCAGTGCAGCTTCTTACTATGGGATGGTTAAAAATGGAAAAAATGGTTTCCAGCTTTACTTGTGTTACAGATTTTACTATTTCTTAATTAGGTTTTTTAATACACTTTTTTCCCCTATGTTATGTGTTTTCTCCATTTGAACTTCAACAAGCACATTTCTGGTCTTCTGTTAAATTTTAACTCAAAGATGATACACTGAAAATCTCTTTGTTAATTACCAGGCTTTTAAAGATCACAGATTAAGAGCAGAACGCTGATGTTGCTTGAACTTCTATTACACGTAGATAATACTACATTTGCCTTCACTTACTTCTCTGTATCTGAAACCAAGATTCTTGCCCTGTCAGTATATAGGTCTTTACAAGGTTTTGTTTGGATTTTGCATTGTGGAACTGGATGTTTGAATTGCCTCTGCAAGAACAAGCAGCACAACAGATCTGCAGCAAGAAGGAGCAGGCATCAGTGAGTGCCATTGTGTCTTGGGCCACTGAAGGCAGTGAGTCAAATTCTGGTCTAAGTTAAGGACACAAATAATGGGTTTTGCAATCCACTGTATCAGAGCTAACATTTGGCTTCCTGAAGAAATTGCATTCCCTTACCCATAAGACATGATGGATGGAATCCTGACCCCATCAAAGTTGATGGCAAAAGTCCAACTGGCTTTGATGGAGCCTGAATTTACTCTCACACATTGAATCCTGAACAGACATTTTTGGCAGGTGATAAAAGAGGAACTTTAGTATTAAGCATTATTACAGTCAGTACTTTTGGCAGGGCAGTCATGAGCATCCCTGTCAGATGTCAGTGCATGTCTAGGAACAGGGGTGTGGATGCAATGGGCTCTCATAGGGAATGCCCTGCCCTGGGATTTGGTGATGCAAGACTCCCAGATTGAGATTGCCTCTTAACAGATGTAGCATATGAAAAAAACCCACTCCTTGGCTTCAGAATTTTGGTATATTGTTTTTTAAGGACTCGTCACTTTGACTACATTGAAGCAGTCTCCAGCTTTAGAAAGCAGATGTCCTTTAGAAAGCCTGAAGAATGAGAAAATGGCTGTGTCCCTTGATCTAAGCTATACTAGCAAAAAATTGAAGATTGTCAAAATTACTAGCAAAGCCTAAGTCTGTTAATCAGCTATATAAACTACTTTAAAGGCACTGCTGGTGGGAAAAAAAAAAGTAAAGCAATGTTCCTAAGTTCAACTGAATAATTTTACTTTAGAGAAGATGGTCAAGTTTTTTACTTATCTCTCTACCATAAACCAGCTTTAGTACTTTTCAGATATAAATGTAGTCTCTAGCAGCCTTTTGTAAAATGAGAACTCCAAATTAAATAACTGTATTTGGTTTGTGTGGCCAGTTTTGGTAGCAGGGGGGCTACAAGAGTGACTTCTGTGAGAAGCTGCTAGAAGCTTTTCCCATGTCTAGCAGGGCCAATGGCAGATGGCTCCAGCATGGACCCACCACTGGCCAAGGCTGCACCTATCCCATAAATGACAATGCCTCTGGGATAACATATTTTTAAAGGGAAAAAAACCTCCATATTGTGCAGTTGTAATTGCTGCCAGAGAAGAAAGGAGTGAGAATGTGGGAGAGGAACAGCCCTGCACACAACAAGGCCAGTGCAGAAGAAGGAACAAGAGGTGCTCCAGGCACTAGAGCTGAGGTTCCCCTGCAGCCCATGGTGCAGCCCATGGTGAGGTAGCTGTGCTCCTGCATCCCATGGACATCCAGAGGGGGGAACAAATCCACCTGCAGCTCCTGTAAGCCCCCACATCAGAGCAGACGAGTGCCTGAGAAGAAGTTGTGAACCTGCAGGAGGCCCTTGCTGGATCAGGCTCCTGGCAGGGATCTGCAGACCCATGGAGAGAGGACCCCATGCTGGAGCAGGTATCCTGGCAGGACTTGTGATCCTGTGGGGGACCCACAGGACTGAAGAAGGTTGTGCCTAAATGACTGCACCCCATGGAAAGGTACCCATGGTGCAGTAGTTCATGAAGAACTGTAGCCTGTGAGATGGACTGACATTGGAGAAGTTCACAGAGAACTGTCTCCCATGGGAGGAACCCACTCTGGAGCAGGGGGAGGACTCCTCTTCCGGAGGAGCAACAGAAACAACCTGTAATGAACTGACCATAATCCCCATTCCCTGTCTCCCTGTGCCAGTGGGGAGTGGAGACAGAACCCAGGAAGAAGGAAGAGGTAGGGGAAAGGTGGTTTTAAGATTTGTCTTACTTCTCATTATCCTGCTTTGATTTTGATTCATAAGAAATTAAATTAAAATCCCTGAGCTGAGTCTGTTTTGCCCATGATAGTAATTTGTGATGATCTCTCCCTGTCCTTCTATGAACTCATGAGCCTTTCATTATATTTTCTCTCCCTGTCCAGTTGCAGAGGGGAGTGACAGAGCAGCTTTGGTGGGTGCCTGGCATCGTCCCACAATACCACAAGTGAGAACTATATAGAAAGGTAATGTAGATGGGTACAATCTTGGATTCCAACTGTCAGCAGCATCTGACCAGGAATATTTTTGGCTTTCCAAGACCTTCTCTATGAGGATGAGGAATACTTATGATGAGAAAGATGTGGAAATGCAAGGTGTTAATTTGTAGTTTCTCTGATATAGCTGACAGCAAGACAGCTGGATTCTGAGCAGGGGCTCCCTATCTTGCCACAATTTTGTAAATAACAGTCACATTTGTCCCTGTGTAAAATCAGAATAATTCTTTGTTGTGGCATTGGGAAAATTCTATATAAACATAAAGCAGTATAACCCCTCAAAGTCTTCTACCTTCTAGCCTCTTACCTATTTCTCTTTATTTCTCTAAAATACTTGGTATTTTAAAATCACCATCTCTTCCATGTCTTTTCACTATTTCAGGTATAAGTTTTGTGACCACAATATTTTAGATTGTGTTTGTACATCCATTTATTTTCTTACCATTGATTTATCATTTCTTTTTTACACACAGGCACATTTAGTATGCTGTGTGATATCCTACATGATGAAATAAAAAATCAAAGGCTTTGTCATCTTCTAAAAAATCATGGATATGCTTTAAAATTCTTTATGATTCCACAAAAACCTGACATTAATTTTATTGTAATATTCAATTTCACTAGCATATTGCTATAGTATTAATTGCTCGTGTGTTGAAATATTTTCCATTAACACAATGCTCAAAATAAACATCTAGAAAGCAAAGTAATTTAAAATACAAGGATACTTCATTCTTCTGATAATAAATGTGACACTTGCCTAAAAGACTAAGAATTATTTCCTACAAGCTATTTCAATAGGAGTTAGCTTTAATGTGATGTGCAATTTTTCCACTTTATTTTTTTTTTTCAGTTTTTTTTCTTTCAATAAATAATTGAAGGTTGCAAATTGTAGACTTTGGAAAATTTCCCCTAAAAAGATGACTTTGCATTTAGACATTACAGACAAATAACTAAAGGCACATGGAAGATTAATTAATCAAGAAAGGTTTGTGGGGAATCATAACCAAGTGGTTAAGAATGAAGCAGCCTGCTGCACAAAAAGCCTGTGCACAGCAGGTTCCTCTGTTCAGATTTCCCATGGATACACCATGGGGCTTCCCTCAGGTAACTGAGTATTGAGATCAGTTTCCAGCCCTGTCTGGAGGCAGCTTGAAGCAAACACCATGGTCTGGCCAGCACTGCTTCCTCACTGCTGTCACTTCTCTTAATTCAACAATTCCACTGTGCTCCAGCTTTGGAATTAAGTAATAATACTTTTTCTTCACAAGAAAGGCTCTGCTTTCCACAGACACTTCAAATTAGAAAAGCTCTGAAAGTGAATATCCTTTCAACTGAAATTAAATTGTGAATCCTGTTAATGTGACCAAAGAACAACATATTTGCACCTTTATTTTGCTTTTAATAGAAAAGGGGTTTTGCCCCTCAGAGGAGGTAGAAATTTTTTCAAGAAGTGATTTGCACTTGCATTGTTTGGGATTTCTCTGCCAGCCCCTGAAACATTTGCTGCCACAGTACCTCCCTTGAAAAGGTCATATGGAACATATTTCAGCACGGGTTTTGTAAATAATCTTGTCAAAAGAAAACCTGGTCTATGGCACCCATGAAAGAAACCTTCCCCAGTTTGACTGAAAGGAAGGAGAAAGGAAGTCCTACAATGTTTCAGTTGCTAGGGGCATCGTGTACTTCCATTTATTCAGGGTTCCAAGGCAGGCAGAGGGTTCTCCCAGAGGCTCTCGGTGGTACTGCCCAAAGCCATCAGGCAGAAGCAGCTGGGAAAGCATCTTAGACTGAACCCCTGGGGCTCAAGGTCCAAGCACCCATCCCTTCAGGCACAACTCTCTCTATCTGTGGGATTTCTGGTCATTCTCTCCTTGCAGGGCAGGGGCTGGGCCACAGACAGCTGCCTGCTGCCTTTGGGATTTTGCTGCTTGAGCTTCTTCTGAGCCTGCTCCTCTTGGCTGGGGAGAGGGAGAGGAAGGAGAGTGGAATTGTCTGGGTCACTGCAGCTCTCACACAGCTCTTCACTTTAAAAGTCTTAATTAAGAATATAAAGGGTATCTCCTGTTACACTTAAGGCAGCACCAATGGAGCAGAGGTATCATTACATCATATTAAGGAAAAATTTGTTCCCCTGCTATGAACTCAACTGCAGTGGCTTACGAAAAGCAACAGCAGGATTAGGCAACTATGTCATTAGGGTAATATTAAATTCTCCAGAAAGAAAACAGATCTTTTTTTAAAACAAAACAAGACGATGTCTGCGAAAATTAACATATGGCAAGAAGCCAGAAATGTTAATTTCTCAGGAAAGCTTTGTCTATTTTTTTTTTCTTCTCCAAGAAACTTAATTTGCAGACATTAGCTTTCTTTGGTTTGTCTTGTGACAAAAAATAAAAGTCTTCATTTCCACAAGATGTATCCGAGGGAATTTCTCACCGATCATAGCAGAGATTAATTTTTTTGCTTTTTCCTCAGACTTTTGGGGTTTCCAATAGGTGTGCTTACTCAAAAGTGTATAAAAATTGTCTAGATGCTATGATACAGAGGCTGCTCTCCCTGCACCTTTTTCTGCTACTCAGGAATCAGCACAGGACAGATCCTTGTGCAGGAGGGAGGAGAGACCAGAATAGCTTTCGCCGCTGCATTTGCCGCCACCTTGTTTCTGGATCCACAAACATAATGGTCCTCTGACCAAGCATCTCTCAGACACATTACAGCCATTTTTCAAGTTTACAAACCACAGCTTCCTGCAAATGATTGTCTGCTGTAATCAAAGCTAATTGGAGTGCCAATTACAGCCCAGCTAGCTTAATTTGGTTACCAGTTCTGATGAGTCATCAAGTCCCAGGAAAACGTGATGTGCATAATTCCCACAGATTTCCCTGTCTATAAGAAGGTATTTCTCATGAGGAACAGCAGCTCTTTCTCCAGCACAGCTGAGGCAGAGCCTGGGAGAGGGCTGAGTTTGTGCGCAGCAGAGCTGACTCAGCAGCAGCATCCTGGGAGCCTCATGCCAGATAACAGCTCATTAAGGTCATCAATCCTCTGTCTGCATGCTGACAGTAACTACAGTAACTACAGTAACTACAGTAACTACTGGTTTTCTTGAGCTCCTGGCCGCCAACAAGTTTAAAAGCAAAAGCAGGGGACCAGACCACCCAAGTGTCTGACATGCCAGTGCAAGAGCATTAAGTTGTAGGTGAAATTACTGAAGACAGGACAGAGAGGCACATTCCTGCAGCAATCCAATTCCTGCAGGAATGCCGTGGAGGAAATACTTAGCTAAACATTGTGAATCAGTCTGGAAGCAGCTAGTGAGTGCTTTCACACTCTCTGCTTCTAAATGTGACTGTGGGAATACCTGGCAGAGAAGCAATGGGGAAAAAAACCAGCAAGGGAAACATAACTTTTCTTACTCATCATCAGCCATTTGCTATTGTCCCCAGTATCCTCTAAGTTACTGGAGATGAAGAGCTATCTTTAATAGAACACACATTATATAAATTTGATGAATGAGTTTACAAAACAAGAACAAATATTTAGGGGAATTAAGATCTTTTAAGAGACTAGTCAGTAGAACTGGGAAAAAATATTTTGTACTTTCTGGTGTATATGTAGTGTATTTTGGATTAATGTAAAAATACCACCTAGAGCTACAAAGCTACATTGCCTTCTCTTAGTTCATAGGCAATCACAACAGCTATTTTTTTACAGATGAGAAAACTGACATACAGAGATTTACATAGTACAGTCTTCTACCAGCTCATGACTGTGCTAAAGAGCATCAAAAATTCCTCATGTTTACAAGCTTATCACTTTGACTGTAACTAAGTCATCACAGAAGGCACTGAAAAGCAAGTGAGCAGGACAGCAGTTCAGCATCAGAGGGGAACAGGAAACAGCACTTGTTAGCACCTTGCATCCCAGTTAATCAAAGCAGTTTACAAACTTTACTGATATTCAGCCTCACCACAAATCTGTCAGGCAGGGAGATATTAAAAACAGGCTACAGGCACAGGTCACTAACAGGCAGTGACAGAGTTATCAGTACTGCTCTGCTAGTTGATACCCATTCCCAGATTTAACCACTAACACAGTTTGGATGCTGCAGTGATCCAGCAGAGCTTTCTGAACTTTCACATGTACAGTGAACATCTGAGGAACCAGTGAAACAGGCTTGAACACAGCTACTCCTCTCCTGCTGGAAGAACTTCAGGGAGAAGCCTTACAGACATGGCTGAAACTTGCAGACCAGCTGGCTGCCTAATGTCTTAGTCCTGAGCCAACTCCTTCTCCCAAAACCTATTTTCTAGGGGACAACACAGATGCACCACAGCTGGACCACCATCTCTGAGTTGTTCTCAAACCACTGGATTCTGATTATGTTTACAGCATTACATCTGCAGCTATTAATTTGAATACTGTATTTCCATTAAAACACATATTTGAGTATTTGTCAAACTTATTTTCAATTATTTGGCTGTACCTTTCATCTCGTGCCTGTAACAGGAAGCTCAGAAGACTGACTGTGCTCTTCAGGCTGCAAACCTTGGCTATCTGAGACAGATAAGCCAGCCCACAGGGGTGCTGGGCCTTTGGAAGTGCACTAAGCTTGCTAATACTGCTACTCATCTGTGCACTGAAGACACCATTCACTCTGGTGCCCTGGGCATGCTTTCTGAAGATGTCCACAGGGCTGAAAACCAGACAAGAACTCAGCTGGTACTGACTGTGGGCCAATAAGTAATTCACCTTACTGAATGTCTATGACTTTTTGACATCCATGATGACTGACTTGGTTTTCAAAGGTAGAACTTACTTGACAACAGTTACCTCTCTCTGCATTTCCATTACCACATTTGTTATAAAATGAAGTAGAATTGAGAAGGTCTGGTAGTATATAACTGTGTAATTACTGTTAACAGATACTACTTGGACTAATTCACATCGTGCCTCACAATCTGGTATTGGGGAGAAAATAGCTCATAGCTTCAGATAGCATAGTAATTTTTGTTAATACCACAAATCAAATGCAGTTAAATGACATTCTCATGGGCACTGTCTGGCTGCTAGGCTTGCTGCAAGCCTTTTTCTCCTTCACAGCAATGAATCACTGATGCTGACAATTTGCTCAAGAGCCGCCCTTTATTGCAAATGCAGAAAATATTTCTGAATTATTTCTAGGGTTTTGCAATTTCACATATTTCAATATCTCAGCCAAATATATTCGCCTTGAACTCTATTTTTCTATTGCTTTGATATTATGAAAATAATTACATAGTTAAAAAACCAAAACAGGGATGATAAATACTTACCACTTGGCTTATATCATATCCCCAAGGAAGAAAAAGAACTCCTGTGTTATATTTCTCCCAGTGTGAGCACATGAAGTTAAACAAAACAATGCTTAAATATATATACATTGTATATACAGAAACTCCACTCTTCCCATTGTCACGGGAACAGACGGAAAAAAAGGAAAGCACAAAAATGGAGGTAGCCCAGCTATCCAGCCCATGGTCAAATAGTTCTCCCAGGGGAGTGCTGGACTGAGTCCTTCGAGCATGTTTCCCATCTATGGAGTCTAGAAGGATTGAGAAAGGAAGAGAAACAAAGAATTAGAGCACAACAAAAGCAGTAGCTTTCTCCAAAACAATTCACCACTGCCATATATAATGTACAGGAAAATCACACTGATGACAGCAAAGTGAAGCACAACTGCCCCCTCAATACCAACAGGTTACAACTGCTCATAAAATAATTGCTCCAGATATCAAGTAATTTTTCTGTCCTTACCTCAGCTCTTAAACTAAATGCCACTTCCTTCATGAGTTTTAGAAAGACACTCATAATTAACTGCCCCCAGTGCTCTTGGAACATTTTTACATCAGTTTCAATTAGTTTCAAGTGCTGAAAAGTGTCCATAGAGCTTTTTGCCCATCCATTGGTGTTGTGGACCCTCTGAGCCTTCAGACCTCTTGTGGGGTGGATTCCTAAGGCATTTTAAGTTCCTTGATGCTCAATACCTTAATGACTAACAGTTACATGGCAGCTTAAAGGAGCAAATTTCACAAAATTTATTTGTATTTGTGCTTACATATATTTTAAAGTGTTTTTCAGTTTTCATACAAGAGTGTTCAAATGGCCAAAAAGGCCAATGGCATCCTGGCCTCCACCAGCAATAGTGTGGCCAGCAGGACCAGGGCAGTGATTGTCTCCCTGTACTTGGCACTGGTGGGGTCACACCTTTAATCCTGTGTTCAGTTCTGGGCCCTTCACTACAAGGAGGACATTGAGGTGCTGGGGTGTGTCCAGAGAAGGGCAACAGAGCTGGTGAGGGGTCTGGAGCACAAGTGTGATGAGGAGTGTCTGAGAGAGCTGGGGTGGTTTAGCCTGGAGAAAAGGAGGCTCAGGAGTGACCTTATCACTCTCTACTACTGCCTGAAAGGAGGTTTTAGTGAGATGGGGGTCAATCTCTTCTCCCAGGTACAAGAAGACACGGTCCCAGGTCACACCAGGGGAGGTTACATTGGACATTAGGAAAAATTTCTACACAAAGATGGTTATCAGGCATTGGAACAGGCTGCTCAGGTAAGTGGCGGAGTCACCATCGGTGGAGGTATTTAAAAAGTGTGCAGATGAGGCACCTGGGGACATGGTTTAGTGGTGGACTTGGCATTGCTGGGTTAATGGTTGGATTTGATGACCTTAAAGGTCTTTTCCAACATGCATAATTATATGATTCTAAGAATGCATTACAGTTAAGGTGCTTTATGTGTTGATCACTTTTAGTACTTGAGTGCTTAGAAAATGATCCAGCACTGTACAGGACTTTACTCTGGGGATGCAGATGGACAATATGGTTTGAGTTGAGCTGATAGTTCTCTGCTGTTGAACAGGGTGACCTGCAGCCTGTTCAGCTGGTGGAAACACAGCAAACATTATGTTTTCTTCTGGGTCATCGAATGGTACAAAATGCAAGGAGATGGCGGAGGGAGGGATGGTGAACACAAGGAGGAGAAAGGTGGTCTAGCAGCTGTAACATTTCTTAGTTGTAATGTCAAACCATATCCTTAGTCTCTTCTCTGAGACTCTACAGGTGAAAAATAGAACTATTTTCCTCTTGAAGTTACATGTAAACTTGCAGGATGAACCTCTTAGGAAAAAGTACACAGAACAAACTCTACAGATTACTTGGTTTTGTCTTGAATCTCAAAATAAAATGGAGATGCTTTTCTATTTGGTATTACTTGGAAGGTGCTATAGCTAACAGTTATTAACTATTGATAGCATTAGTAACCCAAAACTGATGAGGAACACATCTCAGCAGAGTGAGACCAAAGACACCACAGCTGCTGTAGATCATACAGTACTTACTTCTCTGGATTATTTGGCAGTACTGTGAGTTTTGTTTAATGTAAATATACTTCAGGGACCTAAACCAGGAAAAGATGGGATTTCATTTTGTACAGATTTTAGACTATATCTCTATTGTAATATCCAAACAGCTGTGATATATCCTCTGCTCAAACAGAAATCTCTTGAGACAGTTCTCAGAACTCAAAAACTTAAATATCTCATAGAGGATTTCAAATATAGCTTGCCTCCTTCTAGAGACTCATTCTCTCTCTATTAACATTTCCAATGAATTTTCAGCATCTTACTGAAATGTGCAGAAAGAAAACTATATCAGCTTGAGGTTACTTGAAAGGTGTTGCAATAAAATTAGAAATTCTTCCATCCATTGAACAATATCTCTGAAACCTTACCAGCAAATAAAGATATAAGCAATCCTAAAGAGTTTGTGGTGTTTTATATTCCAAGAATACCTATCCCAAATCAGACAGGATTCAGGTACACAGGTGTTACTATTTAAAAATAAGAATGTTAGAACATTTGTCTGTTTATAAATTTTACATTGTCTTACAAGTATATAGTAGATACTAAAATAGGTACCTCACAGTGAAAAGTGGTTTTCATTTTGCAAGAACTTGGTTTTTCTAAAAAGAAGCTTATAGTACAGTCCTAAAATACAGTACTTCTAATTATAATGGTCATGGAAAAAAATACAGGAAGTATATGACACATACATCAAACCGGATTTTCAGAAATCCTTAACCACATTTTCCATGTAGTTTCATTAGCTTTTTAAAAGACCGAAAATATTTTCTGGCTTAGGTTTCAGTTTGAAATCATTCATGCCAACAATGGTGTGTGTTCATTGGTTAACATACACTGTCTCACACTTCCATTGCTGTAGAATTCTTATATTATGATTTTGTCTCACAAGGATTCATAAATACTCCATTTTATAAAGTTTATATAACTTTTAAAGAGTGGAAGTCAAAGTACCAGCAAAAAGCACTTCATTTCATGGAAAGGAAATGATCCCAAACCTCCTTAAAAAAGCAGGAGGGATGGAGAGCAGCATGTTAGGGAATTTGGAGAGAGTAACTGTGTCATTAAAATAAGCTGAGAAAGATTACAGTTGCATATTTAGTTAGTTATTATGGTTCTTTGCAGTCTGCCAGAGGGAAAACTTTGGCCATGCAAAATTTAATCTCCAACTAAATATTTCATGAAATGGCTTGGACAGCAAACATAAAAATCTACATATATATTAGTTCATTATAGCTTTGACTGTCAACATCATATTCCTTGCCGTCCAAGTATTAGGAACTACAAGCTTCACTGGAAAAAACCAACTACATTAAAAATATCAGAAGCTGAACTTCCTGTGAGCCTTCTGAGGTGCCATACAGTAACAGTTCCAATATGTAATTCCAATTTATGAAGCAATAGTCACTTCATTAAATTCCATACAATGACATAAAAAATGGTTTTCACAAAAGAAACCACTGCTTCTGACTACAGATAGCTGCTAGAGAAATCTGAGTAGTAATCACCTTCAAGGGATTGTTGTCCCATTGCTTTTTATGGTACAAATACAAAGAAATTCTGGACAAAAAGATTTTGGCACAATCTCACCAACTGAATAGAAATGCCAAGGTATGTACAATGCAGGGGGAGAGATCTGCTCAAGGGGATACCCCAGGTCAATCAAGATGGCTCTGCATGCATTGGTCTGATTCCAAAAGTGGTCAGCCCCTCTGCACAGCACTGCATGTATAACACACCTGTATATTGCCTGAGCATCCCAAATATGGCACACAAATATATGGCTGCATTGCAATGGCCTTACCAGAAACAGCTCCAAGGAGAGGGGACATTTAGAATCAATAAAGGTTGAAAAAGACCTCCAAGATCATTGAGTTCAATCTTAGACTCATACTGCCATGTCAACTAAATCATAATGCTGAGTGCCACGTCCCGTAGTTTCTTGAACATTTTCCAGGGATGGCGATTCCACCACCTTCCTGGGCAGCCCATTCCAAGGCTTAACCATCCTTTCAGAGAAAAATTTCCTCCTGATGTCACACAGGAACCTCCCCTGGCACAGCTTGAGGTTATTTCTTTTGTCCTGTTGATTGTTGTCTGGGAGAAGAGACCAATCCCCACCTCGCTACATCCTCCTTTCAGGTGGTTGCAGAGAGCAATAAGGTCATCCCTGAGCCTCCTTTTCTCCAGACTTAACATCCCCAGCTCCTTCAGCTGCTCCTCATAAGATTTGTGCTCCAGACTCTTCCCCAGCTCTGTTGCCCTTCTCTGGACACATTCCAGCACCTCAATGTCTTTCTTGTAGTAAGGGGCCCAGAACAGAACACAGGATTCAAAGTGAGGCCTCACCAGGGCTGAGCACAGAGGGATGATCACTGCCCTGATCCTGCTGGCCACATGACTTCTGGTGGAGGCCAGGATGCCACTGGTGTTTTTGGCCACCTGGGTACACTGGCTCAGTGTTAGCCAACCACCACCCCTATTTTTTCCATTGGGTCACTTTCCAGCCACTCTTCCCCCAGCCTGTGGCACTGCCTGGGGCTGTTGTGACCCAGGTGCAGGACCCAGCACCCAGCCTTGTTGAACCTCACACTCACACCATTGGCTCAGCCCATTGATCCAGCCTGTCCAGATCCCCATGCTGAGCCTCCCTGCCCTCCAGCAGAACAACACTCCTACCCAACTTGCTGTCATCTGCAAAGGCACTGAGGGAGCACTCAATCCCCTTGTCCAAATGCTTTATAAAGATATTAAACAGGTTTGATCTCCTGGCTGTCCTGCAAGTGCTGCATAACAACACTAAAGATGATCTGTTCCATAACCTTCCCAGACCTTCCCAGGCTGACAGGCCTGTAGTTCCCCAGATCCTCCTTCCAACCCTTCTTGCAGGTGGGCATCACACTGGCCAGTCTCCAGTTCTCTGGTTGACCAGGACTGGTGACAAATGCTGGAGAGTGGCCTGGCTCTTCCACCAGCTCCCTCAGTACCTGGTGTGGATCCCATCTGGCCCCACAGACTGGTGAGTGTCAGCTTGCACAGCAGGGCACTGTCTGTCCCTCCTGGATCACAGCAGGGCACTGCTGCTCCCTCCTGGATCCCAGCAGGGCACTGTTCTGCTCCCTACTGGATCACCGCAGGGCACTGTCTGTCCCTCCTGGATCACAGCAGGGCACTGCTGCTCCCTCCTGGATCCCAGCAGGGCACTGTCTGTCTCTCCTGGATCACAGCAGGGCACTGCTGCTCCCTGTCCCTCCTGGATCCCAGCAGGGCACTGTCTGTCCCTCCTGGATCCCAGCAGGGCACTGTTCTGCTCCCTACTGGATCACCGCAGGGCACTGTCTGTCCCTCCTGGATCACAGCAGGGCACTGTTCTGCTCCCTGTCTCTCCCTACCAGCTCAGGATGTTGGGTCTCTCTGCTGAAGACTGAGGCAAAGAAGGCATTGAGTACCTCAGCCTTTTCCTCATCTTTGGTTACAATGTTCCCCTTTGCACCCAATAAAGGATGGAGATTTTCCTTGGCCCTCTTTTTGTTGTTAGTGTATTTATAAAAACACTTTGTATTATGTTTCACAGTGGTGACAACATGGAGTTCAAGCTGAGCTTTCACCAATCCAGTTTTCTCTGTACAAGACCTGATGACATCCTTGTACTCTTCTTGATTGTCTGCCCCTATTTCCCAAGGTCATAAACTCATTTTTTTTTTCTCTCCAAGTCCAGTGAAAACTCCCTGTTCAGCCAGGCCAGTCTTCCCTGATGGCTCATCCTTGGGCACCTAGGGATAGCCTGCTCCTGTGCCTATAAGATTTCCTTCTTTAAATGTGTCCAGCCTTCCTGGGCCCTTATTACACAGAACTGTGCAGTCCTTTAAATATACTACCTTTAGTCTCCCCCAAAAATAACTGCTGCACCATGGTGTGGAAAGTCTAGTTTGGAACGAGACACCTTTGGAAGAGAAAACAAAAAAGCCACACAAATGTGGATCTCACTTCCAGGTCAGCAAAATTTCAGGTCTGTCTTCACACCACTGCACAGCAAGGTGCAGTCTACCTAAAAATACACTCAGGGCACAGAATGAAGCAGTAAAAATAGAATCTGAAACTGAGATGTAGGTGTTATGAGAGAAAAACAGCAAGAGGAAAGAAAAAAATATATACTTATTTCTATAAGAAGCTCAGGCCTGTCATCACATCTGTCATCACCACCTCTCCTGACACAGTCCTTAAGCACTGAAGTTCGTAACAATTTCCTTTTTTCTGCTTTGTCCTTTATTTTTCCTATTTCTTTGAAAGCACCCTCTGCTAATTCTGATGTGTGAACTTCTCGGAATGTCATCATCATGGGACAAAGATTTTTATGAAACCAAACAGCAGTGACTCTCCTATAAAGAAGGCTGAGAGAGTTGGGATTGTTCACCCTAGAGAGGAGAAAGCTCCAGGGAGTGCTTAGAGCAGCTTTCCAGTACCTAAGGGGGTGACAAGAGAGCTGGAGAGGGGACTTTTGTCAAGGGCATGTAGGGATAGGACAAGGGCGAATGGGTTCACTGAAAGAAGGTAGGTTTAGATTTTAGGTACTAGCAAGCAAATCTTTACTGTGAGGAGGGTGAGGCACTGGATTAGGAAGCTGGGATTGTTCCATCCCTGGAAGTGTTCAAGGCCAGATTGCATGGGGCTCTGGGCAACCTGATCTAGTGGAAGGTGTCCCTGCCCATGGCAGGGGGATTGGAACCAGACTGCTGCTGTATAATGATTTCCATTTTTCCTCTAAAATAATTTGAACATTCAAGAGGGATAAGAGTTACTGTAATAGAGCCTCTAATATATTACTTAACATGCTAGTTTGGGTTTAAGTCCAATAAACATTTTTATTTTGTGTTGTGGTTTGAGGTTTTTTAGTTTGTTTGGTTTTTTTTTTAATCTAAGAGAACTGTTTTGGAAAGAGGTCAGTAATTTATCCACAATGCCTCTTTATCTCAGAATCATCACTAGTGAATTTGAAGACAAAATTAAGTGAAAATGTCAGACATGCAAATTATTTCACTGTACATTACCTAAAGCATAAGCACAAAAGGTGGTAAAAGCACTGAACAGCCACACCCAGGTGGGAACAAGTCCAGGACTGGTACCTGAAAAAAATAGGGTAGAGAGTCAGGGGTTAACATCAAAGAAATCCAGCAAGATACGCACACAGATACAAACTAGCTGCCACTGATTAACACACTGCATCAAACAGATGGAAATATTTGAGTCTGACCTTCAGGCACTGGTGAGCTCCATCAAAGAAGCACTGAGCAGGCTTGAATGTGTTTCCACCGTAAAGGACAAAAGGTAATAGAGAGGATTTTTGGTCCTGAAATGACTCTAGTCATTGCACAAAACAATGATAGCAACTAGATAAAAATAATCACAGGTCATAGGAAAACCATCCATTGAAAAATTAGTAATGTTCATGTAATATATAGGAAAAAAATAAGTTTTCAAGCATTATTATCAGTACCAGTCTGGGGTTTGTGTAGCACTATTACCACACAGACCAGAACAGGAAGTTTTTGTCCTTAGGTTAGCAGAAACACTAGCACCCCTGTTGTTTTTTCCATGAGAAAAAGGAAAAGACAGTTGAATTGGACAGAGCCCAGAGTTCTGTTCTTGCTCTGCTGACTGCATTAATCCAAGGTTATCATTGCTCCTCTAAAGAAATCAATCCTTTTTCCAGAGACACTTCTATTTAACTTAAACATCACCCAATACAACATCAACACTAATCAACTGTAAATGCAAAGTCCTCTCGGGTTTCTGCCTTTTGGCACCAAACACAGGGAATTCCTGCATACAGAGGTGTGTCCTTGCCTGGATGATGCCAGGAGATGCCAGCACTTAAAGCAGTGCCCTGACTACCTTTCTCTCAGTGCCTCATCTTGCCATTCTGAAAGCAAAGATGACAATTCCTGACTCTTAGCTGCAAATCTGTAAACTGTACCATGAAAACCAACTGTGCAGGAAATTAAAATTTTTATTTCTGATCCTAGGTATAGGATTGATATATGATACTCCAAAGGCCCTTTAGGTTGCGTGGAAGTTTTTCATCAACTGAGAAATGATGGGGACTGTTCCCATGTAGACTCAGGAGGAGCTTGCAAACTACACATACAGGTCTCAACTCTAAGAGACTTAATCACCATTTCAAATGTCTTCAAATTCCATGTATATCTACTGACAATGTGCCAAGATAAGATCATCTCATTAAAAAGATCTGTTCTGGATGTTCTTTTATTACAGGGCTGAGTAAATATCACCTGCATTGATAAAAAAGCACCAGGTGTGCAATAACGAGGTCAGAAAACTGTATAACAAGCTGGTCCTGAAAATGTAACTTTTGAACCAAAACTGCTAACAAGTATCCCTGCCTCTAGAATTGTTATGATAAATGTACAACAACTACACCAAAGTCTACCTCCTGAAGCTAATCATAGGCATAACAAAATGAAGGCAGCTAAATGTAGTTGCTTCAGGAAATAAAAGCGCTATCTTCACTGAATTGTCTAGTTTAAAGAAAATCTAACTCTTTTATCTATATCTATTTTACATATTAATCACATAGAAGATTCCTACTACCTTCTGTGGGCTCCAAGAGCTGGTCTGAGAAGCCCAAACCAAACATGCCCCACACTCAGGAGCAATCAGATGCAAAACAATTCTGACTTGGTCTTCAATGAGGAGCAAACATGGACTTGGACTTAAAAGTCATAATTTGAAGAGACATTTATTTAGAAACTATGTTTTTGTCTAGAAGCAGTCTTGAAAAGGGGGTGTGAATATGTGGAGAAATGAAAGGGAAGTTAACTCTTTCAGGCATTAGTTTAAGTATTAGGAAATGTGAAATCAATGAAAATGTTATGAAGAATATTCAAGTGGATATTGGCTGCATATTGAAACCCTGGAATAAACTTTAAATATAATGAGATCTTACCAGAGACTTCAAGCAGCATATGCTGAAACCCATTTTAGGGATAAAATTAAATTAGATTTTTCAATAAAATGATCTAAATTTATAATGCTATGTGTGAGGTGGATTCTCCTATCTGCACCTATAGAAGCCTTACTAGGGGAATAAGTAGAAGATTTAAGTGTCTGATACCTCCCTGTAACAGTCAGAATTATAAGCAGTTCAATAATTCTGAAAAATTACAACATGAACATATTTACCTGAGGCAGTGTAGTCCCAGTCATAAAAAGATATTAGAAAATAATTAAATAAAATCATGACAAATCCAGAGAATGTTAACAGGTTGGGAGCAATCCACAAAGGCACTATCTGTTAAAAAATGAAAGGAAAAAAATTAGAAAAAATATATTTCAACTTGTACATCTTATTTTAATAAAATACTTTCTATCAGGAAAGAAGCTTTTATATGACATCAGCAATATTCAGATTTGTATATATTTCCCCACTTTCAAATCAAAACACAGTTTTAATTTCTGAAATTTATTTTCAAATACAATCCTTTTGCCTGATTTCTGTGACTGCAGTAAGAATGATATTTTCAAAACATTGTACTCCTTTTAAAATTAAGGGAGTTGTACATTATCCTCATTCACCCAGCTCCCAAGGAAAGCCTTCTGTGATCAGCTGTATCAGAACTGAAAGAAGGCTGCAGCACCCCGGTGTGGTAATTCAGCATCCACGTGGAAGGTTTTTTTAAGCATTGTATTCCCACACTATAACAAGGAAAGCTCTTCTTCCAAACTATGTGAATAATTTCTTACTCCAAACATCAACTAGATCAGACCCTGAGTGCATTACACTTTCAGATTCAGCAATCTCCCCATTACAAGCATCTCCCTGCTCTCTAGATAGTAACTTTCTGACAGGGTCTCCCTCTTCATTCATCAATTACTAATACTCCATTAATTCACTTTACTTTGGAGGGTGCTAAAAAGGACTCCCTGCCTTCACCTAAACCTTTTTGTCCCAGTAATCATTCTCAGGCATTTGTTGCCTGTGGCTTTAAGGTGCTCCTTACACTGCAAAAGGAATCCCTTTTGAAAATACTCTTCCCAAGTAACACAGTTTCTCCAGAATATTTTTTGAAATAGCCTACACAGCTTTCTACATGATTTTTAGACAGAACATATTTGCAGAAATACTAAGTATCAACCATTACCATCACTCAAACACATTATCAATATGTATAAAACATAAAAATCCTGGAGGCTTATAATTAAATTATTTGGAGTGCCTAAGTATTCAGAATGTTCATAAAGGACATCAACACTATAAAATAGCAGAAGAAAATATTAAAGAAAATCAAATCGAATAATTCCTGATACTAACAGGAACAGTATATTTGAATATACTATAGTATATTTACAATATACTATAGTATATTGTATACTCTAACTATACTAATAACAGTTTTGTAATCAAATGGTTTGTTAATATCTCTGGACCAACTAGATGAACAGACAGATGAATACATATTAATATATTCTATCCAACTACTACATTTACTTAAATTTACTTTTAAAATCTGAATGCTTTGACTGATTAACTGTCCTGACTAGATTATCTTGTTGAACTATAGAGTAATTTGTAATATTCAGGAGAAACTGTTGATATACAGAATAAGTGTACACTTCCAAAAACCAGGTTAGAGTTCCTGAACACTTTTCCATCAAGTTTCTTAGACATTTTCTGTAATAACGTTGGGAAAACTATTATATCTGATATTTGCTTTCCTTATCAGCAGGACTTTATCAGTGATTTCAAAACAGAAATCATGTCAGCTCTCATGGTATTTAAAATACACCATGCAACGCATAGAGCAACAATTTTTAAAATGTAACATATCTATCATTCTCAGTGTTCAAAAGGGCAAATCTAAACCTCTAGGAAAAGGGACAGCAAATGTCCCCTGAAATTCACTTTGGAGAGCTTCTAAGGAGGAACCATTCACTGCATGGTCTCCCTTTCTTACACTGACTGCATGCTCAGCATGCAGCAACAGCTGCGCATCTCCAGCTTTGCTACCTGAGGATGCAGAAAATGAATCTCCTGCTGGGATGTATCTGTATCTCTGACCTTCCATGAAATAAGAAGCACAGACACTGAAAAAAAATCTAGATTTGTCTCTTTTAATCTAAATCACAGATCAAAAGAGTGCTTTAAGACACTATGGATGAAATGTTTACATGGATCTATATGCATAAACTGACTGCTTTTTCCTGGATGATTCATAAGGATTGTTGGCAAACAAATCAAGTGGAGCACCACAAATGTCTGCTTTCTAATTAGGGTCATCATTCCAAATAGTCACAATGTCATGTTTAAGTTATTACAGGAAATAATTCATGCTTCCATGGGGTGAACATGAAGAAGTTATTTTAAACCACTTTCTTGCTAACTGTGTAATTTAATAAGGAAACTTTAAAAGGTTTTTCAACTCGCTATAGTTGCAATCCCTTTGTCTAATAGACACATCATGAAAAACAGTTGCAGGAGTTCTGTCCTCAGGAAAACAGACTCTCCTGCACCTAAACCCTTAAGCATGTTCTTTTGATCCTTACTGAACCTAATCTGTCTAGGTATTTGGAAAGTATTCCAGTTGCAAAATCCCTTTTGTTATATTTAATACTCCTTATCTTTTTAGTTGGCATTACACTACCATCACCCGATTTCATAATTAGAAAATCACAGGGTGTTCAAGATTAACTTCTTACACATCTTGGAAAAATAGAGCCTGAATTTATTAGTATGCTATAGAAGCATGAGCTGCAATCTTTATTGTCTAATTAACAGCCAGTAGAGGTCTAATACATGAATGTGCTACATGATTAATACAACTGGAGGTGCCATGGGGCAAATCACATCTGCTCTCTGGCAAAACCCTTGTGTGCTTAACCTTTTAAAAAACTCTTTTAAAAAACTTCTTCCATGAAGTTTTAGCTGATTTCTGTTTCTCTGGGTCTAGCCATTCATTCTAAAAGCCTTAATACTAACAGCAAATGATTTAATACAGCAATTATTTGGATAATAAATGGTAAAGTACACATTTATATAAAGCTCTGGTGAAACTTCACTAGGCCACTTGAGACCACTAAAATGCTGCTCTTGCCCAATTCTGCTGATAAAATCAAAGTTCATAAAGGCAACAGAGGGGAGTTTAATTGATTTCAATGATACTGGCATACACCTGTGTATTCCAGTGGGATTTCCTCCTTTTCCCCTCATTGTCCTGCATCCCCACCAGAGATAAATGAGTTGGGTTATAACAATATGTTTTCAGCTCCCAAATTCACATATTTTTAATGTCAAGTTCTTCTTAATTTTTTATAACACAGGAAGTACATTTTACAATGAATATGCTAATGACTTATAACATAGGAAACACATTTTCCAATGAATTCTGGTTGTGGAATACAGAGAAACTTGTGTTGCCATTAGGATTAAACAGGCATAGGAAAGACAAGACCAGAATCTCAAGCCATTGTTTTCATGAGTTGGCTTTTCTTTTTACTTGGCTCAGTGAATTTAAGGTTGCTATTTTTTTAAACTCCTCTAAATCTAGTAAAAATAGTCCACATGGAATTTTTATTGTCACCAGTTTAGAAACTAAAAAAATAATTAATTCATATCTGAGAATGGATGTAATAGGATGTCTAAAGTGAGTGAAGGAACTTCTCCCAGTCATCAAGATGCACACTTGTACTGCCCAATTTTGAATGAACATAGTAGATATAAAACAGTCTTTTAAAATTCTTTGAAAATTATCCCAATTTCCTTACTGCAATGCACTGTTCAGGAACAAAACCATTATAGCAACTTGCATTCCTACTGATATTTTACAAACAATTATAGTGTGGCTAGGCTATATGGGAACTAAAAAAATAATTAATTCATATCTGAGAATGGATGTAATAGGATGTCTAAAGTGAGTGAAGGAACTTCTCCCAGTCATCAAGATGCACACTTGTACTGCCCAATTTTGAATGAACATAGTAGATATAAAACAGTCTTTTAAAATTCTTTGAAAATTATCCCAATTTCCTTACTGCAATGCACTGTTCAGGAACAAAACCATTATAGCAACTTGCATTCCTACTGATATTTTACAAACAATTATAGTGTGGCTAGGCTATATGGGAACATTCAATAATGCTGTTCTTCTTCTGGTAAAATGCGGCAACTATTAGGATAAATTATCTGCAAAGGAAGATTTGCATAGACAACGCTCCCCCTTCAGTCTGACAGCAGATGAATACTCACCCATCTCCTAAACCAAAGGGCAAGTGCACAGTAAAGCCTCTACTCATCTCCCATGCCAGAATGCTGGAGGGACATTTTGCTTCATTGTTTTCCTCAATATTATAATGGGAATAAAACAAAGTCTATGAATTGAATTACTGAGGTCAGTGTCACATCTTTGAATTTCTTTTTTCTCATCCCATGTTCAAGTTGTATTTTAATTCTTCAGCTGTGTCATATGAACACTTTCCATGAAATTACTTTTGGCTATGAATTAGGAATTATTATTTTTCTGCCGTATCAAGAATAATCAACACCTGAATTACAGAATCCAAAGATGGCAGATCCAACAACACTCTGACCACATACATCCTTTTTTTGTTTGTACAAACAATTATTTTCAAGTCCAGTCTAAACATTTCCTGTAATGAGGCCGATGCAGAAGTCAGTGCTTCCTTGGAGATCAATAAAGTTCATATTTATTTGAGATACAGCTTGCTTTTCTTTTTTTTTTTCTTTTTGCCAACAACAGCATAACTGGCTGTGAGTGGTTTATTTTTAAAAACTGCAGATTGCAATGCATTCAAGAGATGGCATCTTTCAATCGTTATGGTGATCATGGTAACCACTCTCATTTTCAGCTTCTGCGAGGAACGCCCGGCTGTCTCAAGCAAGTCCCCTCGGGAGAAAATGAGACAGTGCTTGCATAAAATCATATGCACAGCACAGAGAGAGAGCCATGCTGTTGTTAGGCAGCATATGCTACACAAAAATAATCTGTACTAAGTAAAACCATCCATGTCTGCAAAGCTGTTTAATGAAAGATGTAATAATGAAAGATGCAAAAAAGAAATGGATGCCTTTTCTACAGCAATCAGAAAAAAACAAAACAAGCCCTTTCTTTCTAAAAAAAAAGATCTCAAAACAACACACTCACCTTAAGCACAGCTAAATATCCTGCAACATTTTTCTTTTATCAGATGTCTTCATTTCAGCTTTATTGATTAATATGTATTTTTAAATGAAAGAACACACTCTATTTAAAACAGATTCTTACATTAATATGTGTTTTTATTAAATTAAATTCTTACCTTAATAATTTTATTCCAGATGGGCTGCATAATATACACAGATAAAGGATTTGTATCCACAGCACTGTACTGTGAGGAAAAAGCAAGCATGTTAAACAAAGCACTGAACAATGGCTATTTTTACATGTCCTTCAGCATCTAAGAGCACTCAGTGAGACTCGTGTAAATTTTTTTTTTTCTGATTTGTACAGGCTTTATTTAATTTAAAAGCATTGGACTGGTTTACAATTACCATGTTAGCAACTCTATGTATTAAATTCAAAGGTTTAGGCTTATGAAATGGCAAACATCTCTGCAGTGACATTTTACTTTTAAATTTTTATTAATTTTACAACCCTATAAAATTCTGCATTTCTACTGTATTTTGAATTTAACACCTTTATTTCCACTACCAGTAATGCACAGTCTGAGCACCAGTTCATTGCTAGTATTTAGGATAGATAGTGAACGTGAATGTGTCTGTAGGTGGAATATTATCTTGCAGAGATACACAGCTTTTGTCATAGTAACACAGTTGCATTTGCGCTATGCTAATTAATGTAAGGCAATGCTACTGTAAAAATGAGCTCTAAAATAGCACAGTTCATTACCACAACAACATTTCTCTATTGGACAGACTTGAAAACACATGTGTTTTATGAATTCCAGTAAGTACATATCTATATCTTTTGTAAACAAAATACTTCAGAAATCCAAGGCCACCTGAATTGCTCTTGTCTCCTTTTTCCTCAGAGGACAGTACCAAGTTTTATCCTGCCTTGAGACTGCAGAACACAGAATAATCTTAGGAAGAACAATCTAACTGATAATACCACTGAAAACCATGTACTTGGAGCTCTGGCAGGTAGACACTGGAAGAAGTTATCCATCATTGGGGTGGTACACGTAATTATTTCAGAAATTCTTGGACTTTGAAAGTGCATATATGGCTTAACATTGCTAGGATGATGCATATGACTCACAAAGATTCAGATATTTCTATATATAGCACTGTCCAAACATTGTGTGCAGAAAATGGGAGTAAGATGGGATGTCCTAGACTACAGTTTGACAAAGCTGCTCACTTGCAGAAGAACTGATGACAAAGAGTCTCCTTTCACATAACTTCAGCTAACAGTTAATTGTCTCTCCATACATATAGTTAATTTATGGGCTTCTGTGAGCCAAGTACTCTTTGGAGGAGACTGCAATCTGGAAGTACCTGTTCCAAGTCATTAATTATCAAAGGAATTTGGGCACTTGTCTTAAACTCATGCACCTACATTTGAAATGCTTAGCAACTCTTCCATACATTTCCTTTTTCTATCTGAATACAAAGCATATGTCTTAATTACCTTCTGAACAAAACAAAGCATTGATATAGTAATTTTGTGTGTTCAAGTTTAAATCACAGATCACAAGCCTAGCATCTAATAAAATTATTATAACACAGCTATTCCCTGTAAATGCACACTGACAAATATCCAAAAAATCACCTAGCAGTAACTGGTCAGATCAGACTGCCTAAATTTCCAAAGGGAATAAAATTTTCAGTTCAATGAAGTGTACATCACTGATTTTAATTTTTTCTAAAAATGCTCTATGGGCGTTACTTATGTTTAGGCCAAAATTACCAATAATACCAAGCCATATAATACCTATGCCAACAGACCAGTCGGCTACTACTTAATTCACATGAGAACTATGGAAATCCTCTGAAAATGAAGAAAATTCAAAGTATCCATAAGCACTTTTGAAGTTTCAGGTAATCAGGAGTCTGCTCAAAGTTTCACTGTGGCTACTGCCTATTTCCTTACCCCATCTGGTATTCAAAGACTATGTGAAATATGGGACAATTTGCTGACCAGCAAATTCAATGAATTCAGCCATACATGGATAAGAACGTGAAAAGGTCAAAATAAGGGAATTTTACCCTTGCTTCTACTTTGGCATTCTCTTTCTCCTTTCTCCCCCAAGTCAAAGGCACACATAAAATCAGAAAATGCTAGATAAACAACAACAGTAAAATGAGGCTTTCTATCCAAAATATTCACTGGCTGTTCAGAAATACTGCTTGCTCTTAGAAGAAAAAAAAAAAAAGGAAAATCAGTCTCATTTCTTTGAAATGGTTTTCTTAAAGAGAAAATATAAGAGACTATATAGATATTATATAATTTTGTATTTTCTTTACTGGAAAATGTAAGAGATTAGGCAGCTTTCCAACATATCTCTACATAACAGACACAAACAAGAGACACAGTCAGCTTTTTGTTTGCCTCAGAATTTCCAAAGTGAAGCACCAAAATCAAAACAGACCTTATTGGAAAAAGAAAAGAAAAAGGAGAATTACAGCCAGCTTTTGTCACCTAAAGACATTTCAAGACGCACCACACTTCATCCTGTTAATTCCTGTGTCTGTGGCTGAACTGTTGGTCCTCTGGGTGGGGAAGGAACATTCAGCAGATGTGCAGAAGAATGGAAATTTGCACTTCCCTCCACAATAATTTGTTTTAGCCAGACCAAAGGAAACACCCATGGAAAAATAGTTTTCAGTCACGGCAAAAAATAAAACTTGACAAATAAAGTCTGCTATACCATTTAATACCCTGCTTTGTTCTGCTCCCAAGAAGCCACTAACCTCAAGGCCATGAAATCCTCAGGAGTTTAATGTTCATGGCTGCTCAGAAAAGCAAAGTACCAAGTAACATGCTCACATTATGACCAATGAACATGAATGCAAGAGTCCATTGAACCTGATGGAAAAAAAGCCTGAAAAACTGCCATTTGTTATTGTGCAATTCTGTCATTTTCAGGGCACTTATACTAAAAGACAAAAGTGGAGAGGATAAGCCTGCTGGAGGTTTTTAAGTGCAAGGCTTATACAAGTACTAAGCACTTCCCTTCAAACAGTTTCTGCCCTGGAAAGGGGATTGGTTGTCCTTATACAAAGAAGAAGGGCTTGGAATAATCAGAAAGCTTCTCTCAATTATTTTTAAAAGAAGTTGTAACAGTTGGGAGAGAACAGCAGTAGTAAGGGAATAGGAAAAATGGCATTGACTTCATTGTACTCCCAAATTTAAAAATGCTTCTTCTGGTTTTATTTAATAGCTGATATCTCCTTGAAGTCATCTGCTTTCTCTCCCAGTGATAATGGCTTCTAGAAGAGCTAGAAATGAGAATACAGACACCAGACACATGCACACATACATGGTGACTCAGGCAGCACACATGAAATGTGCTTTTACTTTGTGTGCCTGCATCTTAATTTCCATCCATAGGATCCAGCACAGCGCAAAGTTTCTGCTGGTCACATGTGTTAAAGGGGAAAGGAAACAAGATTAAGGGGGGGTGAGAAGGGATAAACAATTAAGAAAAGTTACAGGAAAACAGAAGAAAGAAAAATGAGCAAAAGCAAAGGTTTGGCTACACAGTAGAAAGACAACTGTTATGCAGTGACAGAGCAGAGCCAAACACCGAGGGGCAAAAGCATTCACAGTGTTCAAGGTCTGCTCTGCTAAATACAAGACAAATGGTACCTTCTGGCTCACATCCACACAGCTTAGAAATACTTCCCATTATTGCAAACTGGTCACATCAGCACGGCACAGCATCTGCTGGAGGGGTGTTGGGCCTCATCATCTGGCCCCACACACCCAACACATCATTAGCATTCAATATGTTTAAGTTCAAAGCATCTGAAACAATCTGGAGACTACACTGTAACCCAGCAATATGGCACTTTCAGAGCATGAAAGTGAGCCCTGTCGGCTGTGCATGTTCAAAAACCAAATGTCCATGGTGGAAGAGCTGAAGGATGGTGAAACCAAAAAATTATGTGTACTACCTCCAGAACAGACCATTTCCAAACCAAAAGCCTAGCTATTGCCTTGGAGAGACTTTAGAGAAATAAACAAACAAAACCCAAACAGGGAGTCAGCTAACCATTAGTGAGAGCAGACACTGGATCTTCACTGGACTCCCCAGCACTTTCCAGCTTTGCACTGTGGAGGCATCACAAGAATAAAATTTTGGAATGCCTATGATTTAGAGAAAAATATAAAGCATGCCTACATACACTTCAGAGGCAGGAGAGAAAGCAAGCTGCAAGAAATGTAGTTGCATAACTACATTACATCATTATTTCAACTTCAGCTGCTCTTTATACTAACAGACTATTCCTTTCCTGGACTTAAATCATCTTGTCCCAGGTATTGTGCCACTCAGGCATTTACATTCAGAACACCAGTGTTTTGTAAATGACAGACAGAAGGATGGGAGGCATGACAATGGACTCTTTTTTGCACAAGGTAAGGGGTTTTTGTGGTTTTGAAAACTGAAGATGACCCTCCCAGTCCAGGGTATGGACCACTCAATATGGAAGAGACCTCAGTGGGAAATCACCTTTCTGGGCAATGTCTTATGCAATATGAACTTGGCTTCTGTGAAATCTTACACTTCAGGAACCACAAAAAAATTAAAGAAAATACTGAAATACTGGCATATCTGTTAACAATTTTCCATCACTCTTTCAGATTCCTAGAATACGTTAAACATGTGGAGTCTAATTCTACTTTATATATGTTTTTACAGGTTTGTAGTTATTATGGGACACAGTCTTGGATCTTAACAAAAGCTTCACAAAGGGAAGAAAGAGCTTTTCTACACTACAAATAACAGAGCTCCACAACACTGTGGGTGCCAAATATGTTCAGCACTTTAAGTGCTGATGTATTCCAAAACACGGTCCTATTACTTCTAATAATAGAATTGCTTTACATTATATCATCTGTTCGTTAATTATTCATAAAATAATGGCTTGGGTTTTCTATTTCCTATACAATAATTTGGTGTATTCTGCATTTTCCCCTACCCACATATATATATATGAGGGGGTTTTGTTTTGGTGGTTTTGTTTCGGTTTGGTTTTTGTTGCTGTTTTTTGGTTTTGTTTTGTTTTTTTTATTAGATCACCAATACCTAAGTCCAGGAGTTATAAGCCTGTACTAGGGCTGGATGCAGCTGCACTCTGAAGGAAGGGGCTACCCAAGCTGGGCTCCTGAGCTCCTCTCTCCCCTCTCACTTTGCCCCCTTCAGTTTC